AGGTGCATATAGATGGACAGCAGGGTGAGCAGGGGTGGTGCACGTGAGAGTGGGTGGTGGGTGGACAGGAGGGTGAGCGGGGGTGGTATGAGCAGGTGCATATAGATGGACAGGAGGGTGAGCGGGAGGTGGTGCACGTGAGAGTGGGCGGTGGGTGGACAGGAGGGTGAGCAGGGGGTGGTGCACGTGAGAGTGGGCGGTGGGTGGACAGGAGGGTGAGCGGGGGGTGGTGCACGTGAGAGTGGGCGGTGGGTGGACAGGAGGGTGAGCGGTGGGTGGTGCACGTGAGAGTGGGCGGTGGGTGGACAGGAGGGTGAGTGGGGGGTGGTGCATGCGAGAATGGGCAGTGGGCTCATGCACTGGCTGGACAGATAATGTCATGGGCTGAACTGCATCCTCCCAAAAGACATGTTGAAATCCCAAACCCCAAGACCTGAGAATGTGACCTTATTTGGAAATTTGCAGATGTGATCAACCATCCCCACGAGAAGGGGAGGACATGGGGAGAACCCTTGTGGGAACTGGCAGAGGCCGGGTGACGCAGTTGCCACCACAGCCCGGCCGAGGCTCCTGGGCCCCACCAGAAGCCAGAGAGGGAAGGAAGGAAGGGCACTCTCCGCCAGTCCCAGGTGCACACACTGAGTTTTGGCCTCCGGCTTCTGGAATAGTGAGAGATACATATCTGCTGTATAAGCCACCCCCTCGGTGACAACAGCCATGAACGTGCTTAAAGACAGGGATGGCTGAGTTTGTGGATGTGTAGGGGACAGAAAAGGAGGTGAATATCCCAAATGTTGGTTGGGATATACTTAGGCTGAAAAATTGCTCTTTATCTGGAAACTAATTTAACTGAGTGTCCTGTGTTTCTGTTTAATTCTGGCAACCCCACCTGGGAAAAGCATCCAGGGGACTGGCTGGGCTCCCACTCCTGTGCCAGGGGAGGTGGCGAGCAACCATCACGCATCCTTCCTGGGACATAGTTAAAGAAGGGATAGAAGGAGCATGGAGGGCCAGGGCCTGGGGCTGGGGCCTGGCCGACATGGGGAAGCTGGACGTTCAGGTTGCCTGGAGGAGATGGGGTCAGCTACCAGACTGTCTTGGTGGCCAGGGCTGTTTTGCCCATGACAGGATAGGACCATGCCTACCAACCCTACGCTCCACACCTGGGGGTCGGCTGACATCCGCAGAGAAGAGCCAGTCTGCAGCTGCCCTGGCGTCCGGCCCCACCAGATAGAACTTCCCGAAGTAGGACATGTCGAACACCGCTGCGGCCTCTCTGCATGCCAGACACTCCGCCCGGATCTGAAAAGTGCCGAGGTAGAATGCTGGGGGCCTTTGTGGGGTGCCTCCTCCTTGGGGGCTGGGAAAGCTGGGGCTCTCTCCCACACGCCTGCTCTGAGCTGACCCCTCCCTCTCCGCCAGCCCACACTACCCCCACCCAGCTCAGGAACTTGACATGATAGGAGTCAGGGGAGGGCCAGTGGTGGGCAGGTCACCCCACCATCCTGGGCCTCTCTCTCTGCTTCTTAGGCACAGCGAGTGCTCTGCAGGGTAGGTTACACGCTAAGCCATGGATCCAGGCCCACTAAAGGATTGAAATCACCCAGGATGTGTTATCTGACCTTAATGGAATCACAGGAGAAATCAGTAGCAGAAGAAAAATTGGAAAATTCACAAATAAGTGAAAATTAAACAACACTCTCCCAAAGGACCAATGGGTCAGGGAAAAAACCACACGGGGAATGAGGAACCACTTCGAGGTGAATGAAAATGAAACAGGACACATAACACTGTGGGGCGCAGTCGAGTGATGCACACAGGGATGGCTACGCCCTTCTGCACCTGTTCATAAAAGATCTCCATTCAATAACCTGAACCTCCACTTTGAGAAACTAGAAAAAGAGCAAAAGCAAGAAGAAGAAAATAAATAACAAAGATAAGAACAGAAAAAAAATGAAATAAGAATAGAAAATCAGCTAAATCAAAAGTTGATTCTTTGAGATCAATGAAAAGTGACAAACCTTTAGCAAGATTGACAAAGGAAAAAGATAGATGGCTCAAAGCACGAAGCCAAGAGTGGCAGCAGGTGCCACTGCCCACCTCACAGAATTGCAGGGGCTGCGGGGGCCGCTGCGAATTGTGTGCCAACAGATCAGACGTGAAATGGACAAAGTCCCAGAAACACACAAATTACTGAAACAGAATGAAGAAGTCATGAAAATCTTAATATAACTGTAACAAAAAACACATTGAATTAGTAATTTAAAACTCTCTATAAGCCCAGGCCCAGATGGCTTCACTTGTAAATTTAACCAAACATTCAAAGAAGAATTAATAGCAACTCTTCAAAAAAAAATTAAGAGTAGGAAATACTTTCCAATTCATCCTAGGAAGCCAGTGTTACCCTCATCCCCAAACCAGACAAAGTATAAGACTACAGACCAGTATCTCTTATAAATATATAGATACAAAATCCTCAGCAAAACACTAGCAAACTGGACCCAACAATGTAGAGAAAAAGATCACATACCACAATCAGCGGGATTTAACCCAGGAATTTAACATCTAAAACTCAAATGCTGTTGTGCACCACAGTAGGAGAACCAAGGACAAAAACCCTCTAAAAAGGTGTCGAAAAAGTCTTTAACAAAATCCACCTGTTCTTGATAAAAACACATAACAAACTAGGAACAGGAGGGGACTCCCTCGACCCGATGAAGGCTCAGACATCATGTAGCTGCCACTGCTCTCGATGAAGAAAGTCCAGATGCTTCCCTCTAAGATCAGGAACAGACAGGGGGGGTGTCCAGCCTTGCCACTCCCACTCAACATTGTCCTGGGGACGCAGTCGGGACAAATAGATAAGAAAACAAAAACAAAAGGCAATTCGATTGGAAAAGAAAAGGAAAAACATCTATATTTGTAGATGACATGATCTCCTATGTAGAAAATCCTAAGGAATCCACTAAAAAGCTGTTAGAACTAGTAAAATAGTTCAGCGAGGTGACAAGAAACAAGGTAAGTATATAAAAACACAAAAACGCACTGTATTTTGATATCCGCAATGAACAATTTGAAAAGGAAATTTAGAAAATGAGATTTTTAAAATGTGTTTTTACATTATCATCAAAAATGATAAAATGCTCAGAAATAAATTTAACCAAAAAGTGCAAAACTTGTACTCTAACAACTAGAAAATATTTTTGAAAGAAATTAAAGAAGACTAAAATAAATGGAAAGGTATCCCATGTTCTTCATCTCCGAAAGTGACCTACAGATTCAACACAATCCCTATCAAAATTTCGGCTGGCTTCTTTGAAGACATTGATAGGCTGATCTTAAAATTCCTGTGGAAAGTCAAGGTACCCAGACTCTTAAAAAGCAATCTTGGAAAGGAAGAACAATGCTAAAGGACTCACACTTCCTGATTTGAAACCTCCCTGCAAAGGTCCAGTCCCTGAGCCAGTGTGGCCCTAAGTAAGAACAGACATGGAGGCCAAGGAACAGAACTGAGAGGCCAGTAATAAACCTGCAAATTTACAGTCAGTTGATTTTCAGCAAGGGTGCTGAGACAATTCCACAGAGGAAAACCACCTTTTCAAAAAATGTGGTGGGACAACTGGATAGCCACAAGTCAAAGAATGAGGTTGGACCCTTCCTCACACCATGCACAGAAGTGAATCCTAGGAACCCTAGACCTACACGAAAGAGTGAAAAATATAAAACTCTTAGAAGGAAACAAGATAAATTTTTGTGACCTTGGTTTAGTTTCTTAGGCACGATCCCAGAAGCGCAAGTGACCAAAGGGAAAAATAGAGATGAATTGGCCACCACCAAAATGTTAAGAGCTGTGCTGCTAAAAAAACCACAAAGTGAAAAGACAACCACAAGATGGGAAAAGTGTCTGCACATTCTACATCCGATAGGGGACTTGCGCCTGAGCTCAGTAAGGGAAGGAGCGCACAATGTCAACCCCAGCAAAGGATGTGAATGGTCATTTCTCTAAAGAAGATCTACAGATGGAGAGCAGGTGCCTGAGAAGGTGCTCCACACCAGCGGTCATCACAAAACTGCCAGCCAGAACCACACCACAGGGACGCCATTCACACCCCCTGGACCATGACACGAGCAGGTGAGGATAGGGGAAACCACAGCTGCTCCCCACTATCCCTGCAGTGGGCAACATGAAGCAGTGTGTCCGCTTTGGAAAACAGCTGGCATTTCCTCAAAGTGGTAAGCAGAGTCGCCTCATCACCCATCAGGTCCAGTCCTGGCCAGATGCCCACGAGGTATGGAAACATATGCCCAGAAACTTGCACTAGACATTCTCGGCCGCACCATTCCTAAGCTTCAAAGGTTAAAACAACCAGGTGTCCACCAACTGATGACTGGATGAATGAAACGTGGTACATCCAGAAGACGGAATGGTACCATCTGGGACAGAAAGGGGCGAGGCAGGGACACCCACTGCAGCACAGTGGCCCCCGAGAGCATCACGCGAAGGGAGGGGCCCGTGACAGAGCACGCACCTTTTAAGACTCTACTCACTCGAAAAGTTCAGACTAGGAGAACCCAGAGCGGCAGAGAGCAGATGGGGGTCGCCTTGGTCAGGAGTGGGAGTTGGGCCATGACTGCTAATGGGCCTGGAGTGTCTTTGCCAGGAGATGAAACTGTTCTAAACTACATCATAGTGATAGTTTCACAACCATGTGAACTTATTAAAAAACATTGAACTGTGCCCTACAAGTGGGTAAACTAGGTGCCCTGTGAACTTTGTCTTAACAAAGTGGTTTACAGAGCCACACACAACATCTCTGCCTATGTCCCTCCCTGCCTCAGTTTATGAAGCCTCAGCCAGGTCTTCAAGGTCCTTGGTTGCCGCTGTTACTTCTATTTGGTTGTCCCTGTCAGGGCTCAGATGTGCCCACCTCATTGTCATTATTGAAAACAAAAATAATGACAGCCAGCCAGATGCAGTGGCTCACACCTATAATCCCAGCACTCTGAGAGCCCAAGGTGGGAGGGCTGCCTGAGCTCAGGAATTCAAGACCAGCCCCATCTCTACTAAAAATAGAAAAACTAGCTGGGTGTGGTGGCAGGCGCCTATAGTCCCAGCTACTCGGGAGGTTGAAGCAAGAGAATCGCTTGAGCCCAGGAGTTTGAGGTTGCTGTGAGCTGTGACACCACGGCACTCTACCCAGAGCAACAAAATGAGACTCTGTCTCCAAAAAAAAAAAAAAAGGAAGAAAGAAAAAAAAAAAAAAAAAGAAAAGTGACGACAGCACCGCTCCCTGGTCCTGGGTGGTGGCTGTGAGTCAGAGGGTCCATCTCCTTCCAGACGCCCCTCTGCACTCAGCGCCCTGTGAGGCGGGCGGAGCCGTGTCGACCCTGGCAGCTGACTGTGCAGGTCTCCTCCCACCCCAGGGAGGGGGTCCCCACTCAGGTCCCTCTGTCCCCAGAGAACTGGTTGTTAAATGGGCACCAGCATACCACCCAGGCTGTCTGGCCTCTGAGCCCCATGCGGCCATGCCAACTCCACCAGGCATCACTGTCCTTTAAGGAGCTCCCACCCTCTGTTGGACACCGTGGCATCTCCACCGGCACCGCCGGGGCTGTCAACCAAAACCCAGAGCAGCTTCCGGGGCTGACGCCATCTACCCAGCTAGGGAGTTGCCAAGGCTGAGAACCAGGCACGTTTCACGCTTTGGGGCTGCTGCAGGCGCGTTTGCGGAGGCTGGATGAAGCCACAAAGCCAAGTTGGCACCTCCCCTGAGCTCTCACATCCTGGAGGGCCACAAGTCTCACAGGCTTTGGAAGCTGTGGGTGCCGAGGTGCCAGACAGAGCCTGTGCACTCCCAAGAGGAGCCCGTGAGAGCTAGGCACGGAGAAGGCCGGCTGCACACGCAGCAGGAGGCCCCTCTTCCAGGGCCTCCAACAGATATCTCACCACTAGAGCAAGCTTGGGGGGATGGTAGGAATAAATAGTTTTTTCTCTTCAGGACTAGCTGCAGAATTCTCAGGGCCTGGTGCAAAATGGATATCTGGGGTGGTTGTTTAAAGATCACTAAGGCAGCAACAGCAGAGCATCAGCCCCAGTGCAGGGCCTGCCGGTGCCAGATGCCCCAGGGGCCGCTTCTACTAAAACCCCTCACAGTTGCCTTATAGTCTGTCCCCGGGCTCTGGGGACTCCGACCCAGGCCTCAGCTCTTCTCCTACATCAGATTTCTGGTGAGACTTCACCCCGCCTCTCTGGTATGGCAACACTTACAACCCTCTGGAGCAGCAGAGTCCACCCGTGACCACTTAACCAAATGGCTGGGCTGGCTCTGCAAAAGCTGCTTGGGACCCCTCACCTGTGCAGACTGCCAGTGGGCGCTGGTCCTCAGACTCACCTCCGCCACCCAGCGGAAGCAGGGAGCCAGGCCCTGGGTGAGGGGGTGAGGTGTAGCACCTCATCTGACCGAGCCCACGTGCCCACACTGAACAGACAACAGCACCTCCCACCCCAGCCCCCCAGCCTGCCTCAGCAGCCATGTTCACCCACCCCAGGCCTACCTGGTGGCCTAGGCACAGGTGGAGGGAGGAGAGAGGGAGAGGAAAACACATGATTCCTCCTCAAAACTGAGTCAGCCCCAAGGGACGGTGCATACTCCTGGAGAGTGGGAGAGACTCCTGGGCAGGAGTCCCTACAGGCCTGGTGAGGTTCCACTTGCACTGGGGGTGGGGATGGGGCCCTGACCTCCTCCTGGACCGGAGCTACACACCGTGTCGTGGTGGGGTGGGAAGTCGAAAGTGTACTCGTCTGCCAGAAGCCGACCGTAGGCGTGGTCCTCATGGGCCTGGTTCCCATATGCCCCATAGTAGTCATACTCCAGGACCTGGGGAGATCATGGACATGGTCTTCTCCCCTCCTCCCGCCCTCCACCCTCCTGAGGGTGAGCATGTGGACACAGGGGAGCTGAGCTGCGTGAGGGGCTTCAGGCATAGATGGTGGCACAAATGACACATGTGGTGGGGCTGAGAGCCAGTTCCACAGCTGGGGCTCAGGAAGCTGGCAGGGAAGCTGGGTCACCCATGCAGGGCTGGAGAGGACCTCAGGGGTCCCGCCTGATGCGGTGGGATAAATCTGGGAAGTGGCTCTTGGAGGAGGCGGGCGAGGTACGGGGTGTGGGGGTGGCTGCAGTGACAGCTCCAGATGCCGTGGCATGGTAATCCAGAGCCAGCTCCCACCATGGGCCAAACCCACTGGACATGCCTCATGCTTTTCTCAATGGCAGCCCTTGTAGGTGAGGAAACTGAGGCACAGAAGGTTAAACCTTGTCCGAGGTCACAGACAAGTCCCCAGTAGAGCAGGGACATGAACCTGAGTAGACACATGGGCTCCAAGGTCTGCTGTGGCTCAGCTCCCCAGCAATCTGTCCACCCGTGCATCTCCCCCGAACTCCCTCCTACCCCGCCCCCCCCGCCCTCCCACCCACATAGGCACAGGTGAGAATAGAGGTGCAGGCCGCCAGTCTGCGTCCCCCGCCCCACTCCCAGCCGCACGTTCTCTTCCTAGGAGAGGCTCTGGTGAGGCTGTGACTGCATCAGGTGATGCTCCCCAGCCCCAGCACACACCTTGGCAGCCAGGGAGGAGCCTTTCTGGCATCTCTACAGGGGGTCCTCTCCCTCCCCTACCAGGCTGGTTCATTCCAGCCTAGCAAGGATGTCCCAGCCCCTATAGCCCTACCAAGGTGTCAGGGAAGGTCATCCAGTCTCCTGGACTCCCAGGATGGCTCCTAGGTGGGGTGCAAAGGTTGCCCATCTTGGGACTAAGGATGAATTCCCAACTCCCACCCTGCCCCCTGGCCAGGCCAGGGAGTCGGGGCAGACAGGGTGGGGGCAGACACAGGGCTGTATCTAAAGGCAGTGTCTGCCCAGGCCCATCCTCCCAGCATGGTCCCTGGGGCCAGCAGGAGAAGGGCTGATGACTAGGATGGCTGAGGACACCGGCCTTAAGCCCAGGCCTCCTAGCCAGCTTTGGCTCCCATATTTGGCTCCCTGATGGTGTCCTGGGCACTGGACCTCATCCTGGGGTGTGGGTAGCCATGGGGAAGGACAGCGCTGCCTTGAGGGGACTGGAGAGGCAGCAGCAGGAAGGGGCCTCTCATTCCTACAATCTGGTCACAGGTACTCCCAGCTGGCCTTGGAGTATTACCCAGCCTAACCCATGGGCCCTGGCAGGGGCTTCCTAAGCAGGCCTGTTCTTACTCTTCTCCCCATAGATGGGTCCCTGGGAGGCCCCAGAGTCCCAGAGGCCAGGACTCTGCAAAGTCTCAGCTGAGAAGGGGACACTGACAGCACTACCCTTCTATTCCACAACACCCATAACATGAACTAGCAGTTGGAGCTGCCAAAAACAGACACTCACAAAATTATGGGCACATACCCATGATTCCTCCTAAGACCAGGGTGAGGGGTCTTCTGTGCTGTCCCCGGGGCACGTCCCTGCTCTGCCCACAATGCTCACCCACAGTGGCCACGGAGGGTACCAAAGGATGTGAAGCAGCTCCGTGGGGCCTGGCCTCCCCCGTGCAAAGTAATGGAGCCTCGTCCTGGGCTGGGTCCAGGCCGACTGGCCACACTGGACTTGTTACTCACCGGCACTGTGCCTCGCGGGTAGAACCAGCCTGGCCGCTCCCAGCCCTGCCGCTCCTGGAACACACAGCCTCGTCCGAGGAGCTCCTGGGGAGGAGACAGCAGTGCCCTTTACACCCTGCAGACACTGCGGAGAGCAGCCATGGCCACCACACTATATCCAGGGGGGCAGGTAGCAAAGGCCCCCACTCCCAGAACCAGGATCCAAGCCCAGGCTGCTAGCCCCCCAGAGCTCCCCATCACCCCATGCCTGACCCCAGGGCCCCCAGTCTATAGATTACCATCTACTATAGACTGAATCGTGCACCCCAAATTCACATGTGGAGGCCCAAGTCCCCAGTGTGGCTGGCTTTGGAGACAGGAGTGTGTAGTCCTAACCCCAAAGGGCTAGTACCCTGGTGAGAAGAGGAAGAGACCTCAGCACTTTCTCTCTACTGTGAGAGGACATGGCCAGAAGGCAGCCGCCTGTGAGCTGGAGGAGCCCTCACCAGCCACTAGATCCACCAGCACCGTGGTCTTGGACCTCCCATCCCCCATAACTGTGAGAAAACAGATTTCTCTTATTTAAACCTCCTGTCCAGGGCACTTGCTCTGGCAATTCTATCAGACTAGTGCACCAGAGAACCCACCCAGCAATCCCACTCCTGGCTGTGCCCAGGGGGACTGAAAGTGGGTCTCAGACACACACAGATCACACACGTTCACAGTGACACTATGCACAGCCACCACCTGGGGAACGGCCAGTGGCCGCCACTGACAAGAGGATAAGGTGCACGTGGTCTGTAGACAGTGCGATACTGTTCAGCCACAGAAAGCAATGGAATTCTGATGCATTCTACAGCTGGGATGAGCCCAGAAATCCAGCCGAGGGGAGGAAGCCAGACTAAGGTGACCAGATTTTAACATTGGTAAGGCGGGGACACCACTGGGGGGGGGGGCCTGACAACAATGCAAACTTTGAGAAGCAGTTCTTGATAATCACTTCTCAACAATTATTTGTTATTATTACAGTTTAACATTATAAAATTAACAAAAATAATCTAAAACTCATATCCTGGTGAAATAGCCACGTGGCAGCCGAAAGCCGTATTTTCCCTTCTTGTTCTCCCGCCCGTCCGTGCATTCTTTCCAAAAATTGGGACTTTTTAAAATGCTGCAGGACGCAGGACAAATTGTTAAAAATTGGGACTGTCCTGCCAAAAGCGGGACGTCTGGTCACCCTAAGCCAGACATAAGAGGTCACAGGTTGTGTGAATCCTTTATCTGAACTGAGCCCAACAGCAAATCCCCAGAGAACAGAGACAAGCAAGGGTGCCAGGGCAGGGAGTTCATGAAGGGAGAATACAGGGCATAGGGTTTCCTCATGGGGCCACGACAGAGTTCTGGAACTGGGCTGTGGTGGCAGCTGTCCAGCAGTGTGAATGGACACAGTGCCACTGAAGTACACTTGAGAAGTGGCTAAGATGGCAGAACTTAGGGCGTGCATACTTTACACAATAACAAATGTAATGGGCACAATGCAGTAATGCTATGGTGTCAGATTTCTTTGAAAATTAGTTTTCAAAGAAAAAGAATCCCCACTCTGAGGGCTGGAAGGGCCCAGAGCCCAGGGCCCAGGGCCCAGGGGGAGGCTGAGTCCGGCCCGAGGAATGAGTGAAGGCAGAGTGGAGGGGACTCAGGGGAGGAGAACCTCCCATGGTCAATTTGGGACCCCAGATAGGCCCCCATTACAGCAGTGGAGGGCACAAACCCACTCCCTTCAGGGAAAAGTAGGGACACCCCACCAGTCAGTGGCAAGGAGCCACCCAGGAAAGGAAGTGAGGGTGGGGGGAGGGAGGTCCCGCCATGTCTTCCTGGGGCAGAACCGCTCACTTAGGGGGGATACGTGGAGCTCGCTGCAGGTTGAGCGAACTCTGGGTTTTCAGGGGGGCTTCTGAGATGTCAGGATTGTCAAGGGGGTAGGGACAAGCCTAGGGACAGGGTGAGGAGATCCCAAGGCTGTGTGTGGCTCAAGATCATAGCTGGCCTACTAAGCCAGGCCAAGGGCCAGGGCACTCTGGGGACCAGTCCTCTGACTGCTGATGTCTCTGGGTCTCTTTCTAGTGGGGGGGAGTCAGCTAATACTGGGGTCCTTCTTGGAGCCAGGCACTGGAGTCCCAGATGTGAGAGCCCCTCCTCCAATTTAAATGCTCCCTCCCCTACCACCCATGCACTCAATAATGTGCAGGGACTGGTGTGATTGGACATAATCCTTGCTCCCAAGTAAGCAAAGTACCCAGGCCTGCAGTGCCTGCCCCCTGATCATCAGCCACCCCAGATGACAGGGCCAGGAGATGATCATCAGCCATCCCAGATGACAGGGAGTGGGGGAGTTGAGACGGGGCCAGGAGCATGGAGAAGAAGTTCACAGGTCTTCAGGGGCCCAGGAGTGCACACAGGGGCAGATCTGAGAGATGGGTACCTAACAGTGGGCTTCACTGTATATGTAGAAGTTCACCAGGGTGGAAGAGCACCCCCTGCAGGCTCTACAAGCAAAGTCCCACCTCCTCAGCATGGCATGGTCTGGCTGCCTCCTCTACCCTCCATGTACAACTGCATTCACCTGCTCTGTGCCCACCACCCAGACCCCCCCGACCCCACCCAGGCTGCCAGCTGCCAGGAAGGCTCAGGGCTGTGTCCTTGGGTACGGTGTCTCCTCCACTAGATGTCAGCCCCTTGGCTGCAGGGACCCGTTTCCACTGCATCCCTGAGCACTCCCAGCCCTGAGCCCAGGCCCAGCAGTCGGCTAATCCCGGGGAATGGACAGCTGCCTCGCTGCCCTGCGGCTGGGATGCACCTTGCATTTCTGTCACCCCAGTGGCCTGTGGACACCTGGGGGTCCAGCTGCTGGCGGTACCTCGTGTAGGGGGTCTGTCCTCATGTTACGTCCAGCCAGCGGCTCGTCGTGGGGGAACACGACAGAGTAGTTCTTGGCGTAGGACTCGTGGCTTCGCTCGCGGACCCAGCGGCGGTGGTCCGTGAGGGACTGATGGAAGCGCCTGCGGCAGATGGAAGGGCCTGGTCACTGCTTTGGGGACAGCCTGCCAGGGAAGGGCTGCTAGGGACCCAAGGCAAACCTAGGCATGTGTCCCCCACCAGAACCTCTACCCCAGCCTCAGGGAGCTCAGCCTCCATGTCCATGGGCCCATTACATGTAAGTTAGCTATATCTGTGCTCTGTGGAAGGAAGGTCAGCGTGACAAGGACCTTTCAGGTTTAGGGCCTGCAACATCCTGGAACACCAGTCCCCTCCCTCCTCAGCAAGAGAGTCTGCTTCCTGCCCTCCTGTGTGGAGGCAGGGTTGGGGTGGTGGCCTCACTCTCGACAGGCCCCCAGTTTGTAATTCCAAGGCCAAGTCAGGCCCAGGGCCTGAGATGAGCAGAGTCTCTGGGAGAGTCCCCAGCTGAGTGGGGAAGCAGCTGCAGGATCCAGACCCTGGGACCAGAGATGGTGTGGCCATGATCATTTTCGGTTGTCCCCTTGAGGCTGGGGACACATCGTGCAGCCACTGAACCCCCAGTGTTGTCCAGCTTCAACCTGGTGGGGCCCACACTGCTTTCCACCGAGCTCAGAGACCCCAAGGCTACACCTGTGCCCAGGCCTCTCTGTAGCCTCCGCCCATCAGAGCAGCTGTACCAGGCCCTTTTGCACAGATCCCCCCATGCCTGTGGTATATGGGCATGCTGTACCACACCCATGCACAGATCCCCCCATGCCTGTGCCCGCCCCCGATGCCGCCCATGCACAGACACCCGCCCTCAGCCAGCTCTGCCCTGTCTCAACTGCCCCCTGAAGGATGCCTCCAAGGCCTCTCTACACAGCTGCATCCTCAGGGGAGAATATGTCCAAGGGGAGGCCTGTCCAAACCTCACAGGGCTCTCTGATTCCTGGTTTGCACATCATTCCAGCAAGCAGATGGGTGTGGGGCTGTGACCTGGCACCTAACGAGGTGCTCTGTTCAGCTGCAGCCCTGGGCTGAGCGTCTGTAGGCAGCTCTGCTGCCGATACCCAGGCCACCTGCCCCAGGGCCACGTGAGAGGAGGCTGAGGCTGGGAGGGTCACAGGAGAGTTCACAGTCCCACAGCAAGGCCTCAGAGGAGCCTGCCTGTGCAGGGCAACACTGACCCTGAGCTGGAGGCATGCCTGTCAGAGTACGTGGGGCCGCAGGAGTGGGGACAGGGGACATGGAAGCTACTCTCTTCAGTTCAACAAGGAACAATTCATCCCAGGCTAACCCAGACCCCAAGGACTTTCCCCAGAAGTGACACCCATGCTCCATCCTGGCCTCTGGCAGGGCATCCCGTGCACTCTGAACATTGTTCCCATTTCACAGATGGGTAAATGACGGCTCAGAGAAGGTGAGGGACTGGCCAAGGGCCACACAGCTAACAAATGTGGGGCTAGAGTGATGGGGCTCATGTGAGACCACACATGCAGCAGCTGCTATGACCTGGACACATCTGTGCTGTGTAGGCCTTGGGACCCACACACACAGCCTGGGGGTCAGACACAGCCTGGACTCCATGTGGGCTCCTGGCTGGGCACCTCCCCCCGCCCCGGGCTTGTCTTCCTGGGTGTTAGATGAAAGAAGGGTCCTGAACTGACCTTCTGAGCTTTGCAAGCAGGATGACAAATAGGGAGAAACAGGCAATGGACAGCTCCTTTCTTCCCTGGGTCCTTGCCAGCCGGCTAAGGCCCCGCCCCCTTCCTCTATGCTCTGCCGCTCCCCTGCAGGGTCTGTGTCTGTCTCCATCATGCTGTCGTAGCCCGGGTGACAGACTGTCTCACTGGTGTGGAAAGCACTCGGGTGCTGGTAGCTGGTCCACTCTGGCGCATCAGACAGCTTTGTCAGTGACCATTCGGGCTGGAGACATCATTAGCCTCTGGAATCCTGGGTGCCCACAGCCAAGGCTGCTTGGCAACTTTCTGGCCCCAGGAGCACGGGGACCCCCTTTCCACTAGGTCTCGGCCCTCAGGTGTTTTTTCCTGTCTCCTGCCCCTGCTGCTGCCTCCTCCAGGAAGCCACCTTGGTTTCAGGGAAGGGTTCTTTCTACTGGGCCCTGGCTGTTCCCCCGCCTGTCGACCTGCTACAGGGCCCTGTGGGCATACTCGCCTGATGTCATAGCTGTACATGTCCTTCTCTGGACGCCCATGGATGATCCAGTGAGCCAGCTCCTGACCACAGCCACCACCCAGCATCATTCCTGGCAGGAGGAAACTGTAAGTCTGAGGGCTGCCCCAGTCCCCGTCCCCAAGTCCAGTTCTCCACAGCCCAGCACCCCTCAGCCTTGATCTCACCCCTGGGGTGTAGCAGGTTTCCAAACTGCCAACACCCCACCCCACCGCTTGCTGGCCTCCTCAGCCTCTCCTGTCTCCACCGCCATCAGGGGCCTGCCTTCCCCAGGAGCTCACCGGGGGCCAGTGTGTGCTGCCCAGACCCACCTGCGCTGTTGAAGCCGCAGCCCAAGAAGAACCCACGGAGTTCAGGGGCCTCCCCCATCAGGGGCTTGTGGTCAGGAGTGAAGGATTCTGAAAGGGAAGGGAGCCCAGGCATCTCCAGTGTGCATGTGCGTGTGGCAGGGGGGCTCCGAAGAGAACAGCAACCCAGGCAGCAGCTGTAGGCACCGCCTTCATCCAGACCCTCCCCAACCTCAAGACCCAGCTCAAGGCCACTTCCTCCAGGGAGCCTCTCTGATTGCTCCAGCCACACTCCCCAACTCCTCGGCATTGGCCAGGACCCCAACTGCCTGGTGGGGTCCAGGTCTCTCTCATGGCCACTGCTATTCTCCTGCTGACAAGGACCCTTCTTTGACCCACACACAACACTGTGCCCCCTTCACCGCACCACCATCCTGCTATATTACCACCAGTGATTCTTCACTTGTGCCTGCTGGACCACGCCAGGGCAAGGCCAGGTTTTGCTTACCACCCAAGGCCTAGCACAGGGGCCAGCAAATAGAGGCTCCTGATACATGTTGTTGAGGAATGAAGGATTGTAAGATGATCAGCTCTTTGGAAGAGGGGATCCAGCCTCTGTCCTATCCGCTGCCAGTTGGCCTTGGACAGAGGCCATAACATGGTGGGAGAGGAGCCCTGGCTGGACTTCGCAGCCCCAGTCATCAATTCAAACCCTGCTTCACCCGTTCCCAGCTGTGTGACATTAGGCTGGTCACCTCCCCTCTTGGGACAGGGGTGCTTACTACAGACCTCTGTGGCAACCCCCCCAGCATGTGCGTGGCCCCAGGGTGCTTCTGAACAAGACAGTCCTAGGCCTCAGGAGCTGATGGACAGCAGGGGAGGCAGAGAGCAAACACTCCAACAAGCAGGTGAGAGAAGGCCCGGGAAAGAGCGTACCACGGGATGAGGTGCCGGCGGCTCCCCGTTAGGGTACATTTGGTGCATTGTCACCATGGTCACCACCCTGTTACAGTGCAGATGAAGAAGCTGCTCAGCGTGGGGTCTGATGCCTATCAGTCATCTTGCTCAATGGAGGGTGACTGGGGCCCAGCCCTCTGAGGGGCAGCCATGGGGAAGCCGCAACGCTCCCAGGAGGCAGGAAAGAGCTGAACTCACAGACGAACAAAAGGCAGGGTGTGGGTGGCTTCAGGAGACAATGCAGGACAAAGGGGCAGGGCTGCAGGAGGGCGGGGCCCCAGTTAGTCTCCAAGTGCAGGGGGCTTGTGGAGGGCAGAGACCCTTGACCAAGCATTTGGGGCCCTCAGGGCCATGTGAGGCTGGCTGTAAGGGGCTCAGGCAGAGAGGGATTGATGAGGAAGGGTCCGGAGAAGGTAATGTCAGGTAGAAAGGTGAGGTGAGCCTGGGTCAGGTGTGGGGATGGCCAGGGGGCACTTCAGGAGGCTGGGGACTATTTGCAGGCCCAGGGCAGGCAAGACAGGGGTTCTGAGCAAGTTCCTAAGGAGGGAGGAGAGAGCCAGCAGGACAGCGGCGGGGACAAGGGTCTCTAGGATGTTTAGCAGATGACTCAGGCGGGGATGAGCAAGCCAAGGACGCACAGGATCTCCAGGCAGTGAGGACAGGCCTGGCATGCAGCTCTCTCCCTGCCATGGCTCTGATCTCCACAATTCCAGACCCAGAGCCCTGGCGGCCCTGGTCTCCCCAAGTCAAGGGGCCTGGGACTTCCCTGCTCTTTTCTGGAGGTCACAGGCCACTGACCATGCCTGGAGAGAAGAAATGCTGATGTTCCCAGGAAACCTCCCACCCCAGCTGGGAAACCAGCACAGAGAGTCCTCACACGCACATCTCCCCAAAATAGGGCCTCATGAGAGTGACGCTCCCCAGGCGTCAAAAGAGCCTCGGGCTACTGGCACCCTGGGTCTCTTCCAAGCCTGTCCCAAGAACAGGGGCGCTGGGGGGCAGTGGTGAGTCACAGCCCTCCGTGCCCACTCCCACTGCACACTGCTGCCCCACCTGCAGGGCCATCTGCACCCTGGCAGCTGTGCCTGTGCCACAGGCTTCTGAGGAGCTGACAGACCCCCGGGAGGCCAAGGAGATACTCAGTGAGGCAGGACTGAGGCCTGGACTCCTCGGCAGGGCACGGGAACCCTTCCCTCCCACTCCTGGCCCAGCCACTCATACCATGCAGGACGTGTAAAAGGTCTTTAATGTCCTGTTCCTTCTGCCCACTTCCACTCATGACACTCACTGCAGCCATCTGGGCCCTGGGTCCCTGTGTCTTATCCCCAGGCTGTCCCCTCAGCAAGTGCTCTGTCACCCACCAGCTGGCAGCACTGGGGCACAAAGCGACCGCTGACACATTTCCTTTGGAGGCAACACTGTGTCTCTCTGACCCTCTCTCACTACAGCCCTGAGGTGGGGCAGGGGCCCCCTTTCAGGAGGGAGTGGGACCAGTGTGACTCTGGCAGACCATGATGGGGGGGCTCTGCCCTAAACACAACGCTCACTTGCCCAGACACTGTCTATCCCTCCTTCAGGTAGCCACTCTGCCTCCTCAGGCTGTAGCACCACCACCCTGGGCCTCCCTTGGAGCACTCCCAGCGTGGTCAACTACTCGCCCTGGGGCTTGCCTGAAAATAAGGAACTCTGGCCCGGGGGTGCTTGCCTCCAGCATAGACAAGGGGGCCAGGTAATGAAGAATGAATGGCCACATGAACGAAGGCTGGACGTCCCTGTCACTGGCAGCTCCTGGGCTGACCCACACATGCAGAAACATTGGGCTCAGAGTCCCGCAGCCTTTACATCCAGCTCCAAGGACCTGGACCCTTCCTGCTTTCCAGAGAGCACCCCTTTGCCAAACCGCAGGCTGGCAGCCTCATGCCCCATGCCCTCGCCCAGCACAGAGCCTACAATGCCCCAGCAGTGGCCGCCAGGGAGGGGTCGGGGTGTGCATGGAACCCCTCTTTCTCCTCTAGCCTCCTGCAACTCTGCTCCCCTGGGGCCAGCAGTGAAGACCAGAGGCTTAGAGCCCTTCCCTGCAGGGTCCTGGCCACCAAGCCTTAAAAAGCAGATGAGGCTGAAGTAGAGTTGTGGCCAGGGCCCTGGGCTCTGGGAGCAGTGGGGGCTGAGGCCGGACACAGAACTGGGCTTACAGTGGCATGAGCATTGCATCAGGAAAGGTCCTGGCCCTCCTGTTCCTTGATCATCCTCTCAGGGCACTGGAATGGAGCCAGCACTCCCATTTTACAGATGAAAACACCAGTACCAGGGCCAGGGTGAGTCTGGGGGTGCTGCGCCCTGGTCAGGTCCCCTCCCTCAGCTCAGCTCCGTAGCTTGCAGAGAAGAGTAAATGCAG